ATGCCTAGCATAGTCAAATGGTCTAGTCTTTACTCATGACATGCTTGTACCTTTCTGATCCTATCAATGAAGGACCGCTTGAGAGAGAGAGCGAGAGAGGTGCAGGCAACACAGAGAAGCAGATAGGCCACACAGGTGCAGGCAACAATGAGTCTCAACCCACTGTACGGCCACATGCAACGGTTCTTCTCCCTGGCAGGCTACGGCACAGGGGACTGGTTAACCGCTATCCCAAAAGAACCGACCCACCGTGTAGGCTCACCCCACTTCGCTAATGCAGTCCGCCACAGGCTAGGGCTCCCCTTCTCTACACTAGCAAAGTGTGACTGCTTTAAACACGTAGAAATCACCGACCCACGGCTTCCAAACCACCTTTTCCGCTGCGGGACGGAAAGGCACACGATCAATACTCACAATGAACTCCGTGACGCCTGCATTTCGATGGCGGAGGATGCTGGCTTTATAGTCCATGCAGAATCAGCAGCCTACCGCCCAGCTGACGAACAGACGGCGGACCTGACCATGCGGGATAGAAGCTCAGGGGCGGTGTACATCTGTGATGTCACTATCACCGATCCAATCAGCACCAGGGACCCGCATGCCACCAAAGGAAGGGGATGGGTGGCCAGAGAGGCGGCCGACAAGAAGATCAGCCATTATGCCAGCCGCCCTGACACTGTTGGCTTTTTCCCGTTGGCAGTTGAGACATATGGGTGCCCCTGTGCCGAGGTTCCATAGTTTCTGAAGCTCTTGGCGGAATCAGCTGCTAGGCGTCACTTCAATGCCGGTCCACACTCATTCCATGCAGCCAGATTCCTTCATCTCTTCAGGCAGCGATGGTCGCGTGCTCTGCAAAGAGCGTAGTCAGTAGGCTACCTTATTAAGTCCAGCCAGGCGACAGTAGCAGAAAATCCCCCCATGGGGGGGGGGGGGGGGGTGCAGGGGGATTTTCACTCTGGGGACAGTTGTGTAGTGCTAGAGCCTCTCATGGAGGTGTAGATAGGCAATTGTGGGCGGATAGACAGTTCCTTGCTTGTTTGTTCACATCTCAAACATCTAAACCTTGCATGTTTGTATCCCTTTGATATATCAATACACGGACCAGAGAGAGAGAGAGAGAGCGAGAGAGAGAGAGAGAGAGAGAGAGAGAGAGAGAGAGAGAGAGAGAGAGAGAGAGAGAGAGAGAGAGAGAGAGAGAGAGAGAGAGAGAGAGAGAGAGAGAGAGAGAGAGAGAGAGAGCACGAAAGCCGCCGCCAGGGTGGGCAGCTGAGGAGGCGTCGCAGACGAAACACCGGCTTTACGAGGGGCGCCCTGGGTATGTTGGTTTCTTTGGCTTAGCAGTCGAGACATATGGAGCCCTGGCGGTCGACACCCAGCAGTTCCTCCGAATGCTGGCTAACTATGCCGCTAGGAAGAAGTACCGCCAGGGCCGCCTCACCACTACTGCAGCTCGCCTCAACGCACACTACCGGCAGCGATGGTCGGTGATGCTTCAACGCAGCCAGGCGACCTCTCTCCTCTCTAAGTCAAACCGGGCAGCAGAGGCGGCATTCCCACAGGCGCCGGCAGACCCCTGGGCCCCACGGCTAGGCGACCTCTGGCAGATGCAGGAGGACGAGTACGAGGACCGTCAAGCCCCTGCCAGGGCGGCTTAGGGGGCCGGGGTGGGGGGCGCCTAGGCTGCGGCAGGAGGGTGCGGGGAGCTGCATAGAGGGGGGAAGGAACGGAGCTGAAGGGGCATGACCGAGGGGTCCAAGGGAGAGGGAGTTGGAGAACAAGGGATGGCGGCCCTGGTGGTGACTGGTCTGATGGACTTAGCATGTGACGACCCACTCACGCCCTTTCTTACTGGCTAGGCCCATTTGGCTTGGATGGTATCTTGCTTGATATATGGTTTAGCCTCGTGGTTGCTTGCATGCTTTGCCAGTAGGGTAGCCACCACCTGCCATGCCTGTATCTTATGATCCATATCAATACATGACTGCTTGAGAGAGAGAGAGAGAGAGAGAGAGAGAGAGAGAGAGAGAGAGAGAGAGAGAGAGAGAGAGAGAGAGAGAGAGAGAGAGAGAGAGAGAGAGAGAGAGAGAGAGAGAGAGAGAGAGAGAGATGAGGAGAAGGGAGGGGCGCCATGGAATGGCATTCTCAGCCCGCCATCTGCCACGACCGCCACTCCCATCGCTGGCAGACACAGCAGGCGCAGGTGCAACAGGCGCGACAGTGGCAAGCGTGAGTGCATGCATCAACAGCCTGTTGTTAGCCACCCCCGCCCACCTTTACCCATGGCGGCAACCGTGATGGGGCTCGCGACTGGCATTGCAGGCGCAATAGGGGAACGGCAGATGCGGTGGCGGCATGTGCTTGTCCTCAGCAGCTCGCCACCCACTCGCGCCCTCCTACCAAATCAGCAGCCATGGTAGGGCATGTGACAGGCGCGGCAGGTGCAGCGGAGGCGTGGCAAGACGTCGGCAGTTGGCACTTCGGCCTCGATGCCCATCACGACCGTCACCCGCGCCAACTTTCCCCCAAAGTGGCAAACAAAGCAAGGCAGCAGCCGCTGGCGCTGCAGGGGCGAGGAGCCGCAACAGGACGCGATGGTGCATGGTAGGGCACTCGAGGGGCGGCCGTGACGGGGAGGAATAGGGCCGCGACAGGGGACCACGACGGTTAGGAAGGCCATCATGGTGATATAAGGTGGGGTAATATTGGGGGGAGGGGGGTGGGGGGTGGGGGGGTTCTAGGATTTAGAGCCTAGCTTTTCATACCATGTTAGAAGGACTCTAGGAGCTTGATGTGCTGTTTGGGAGTTACGAGAGTTGAGAGAGACAAAGGAGAGGATTGTCTAGAATGGAAAGGGGAATACAAGCAAGGGGCAACGATAAAGTAGTGTACCAACAACAAAAATTACTACACTAGCCAATGGTGCATGCCATTGTATGGTAATATACACAACCTTCTTTCTATTTCCGCCACCGTCATCGACCTTGGCCGTTTCTTTCTCCGCCGCCGTCTAGCGCCAATCCTATTTCCAAAGGCCCATGTCCACCTGGTGCTTTGTGCACCTCTTTTAGAGAGGAATGCCATTGGCTATCCTCCACAAGTCGTCATCGTCATCTGCAGCCACTCGTCCACATCGTCTCCTGCCCGCCACTATTCCATTTCTTCACGATCAATACTCACAATGAACTCCGTGACGCCTGCATTTCGATGGCGGAGGATGCTGGCTTTATAGTCCATGCAGAATCAGCAGCCTACCGCCCAGTTGACGAACAGACGGCGGACCTGACCATGCGGGATAGAAGCTCAGGGGCGGTGTACATCTGTGATGTCACTATCACCGATCCAATCAGCACCAGGGACCCGCATGCCACCAAAGGAAGGGGATGGGTGGCCAGAGAGGCGGCCGACAAGAAGATCAGCCATTATGCCAGCCGCCCTGACACTGTTGGCTTTTTCCCGTTGGCAGTTGAGACATATGGGTGCCCCTGTGCCGAGGTTCCATAGTTTCTGAAGCTCTTGGCGGAATCAGCTGCTAGGCGTCACTTCAATGCCGGTCCACACTCATTCCACACTCTCGCCCTGACATTGCACATTCACCTTTTCGCACCACAAGATTCGCTCTGACACATATATTTGCCCTGTTAGAGCATGTTTTATCGAAAATCCCCTTAGTGTAGCATGTTTCGGTAGCAGAAGAATGAAACATCGAATACACTTCCGATGAGATGAAGCATTGAATGCATTGACTTTGAATGATCAGACTCTTTTTTTTAAAGACACTCTGACATTTCAGCATTTTTTTTATAGAGTCTGAGATTTCCAGACTAAAATTGTGTACTAGTCTGACGAATCAGACAGGCCAAAAACGAATCTGAGGGCCTGGTGGTAGAGCCCCCTCTTAAGCTGTCTCATCTACCGTATGTTCCTCACCATTTCGCTGTCATATTGCCATACAGTCTTGATGGCCGTTGTGTCTCGTTTTATTACTTTCATATAACAGCCTTTTTTGTGACAAAATCCCAAATGCCACTGGACATCCTCAGTTGCATCGAATCACATTCATAACACTACCAAGATTACATAGGCTGTTTAACCACTAATCACTACCAGGGCTAATTTTTGGATTTGGGATACCCTTATAATCAGTGTACCTCTTGCTCAAAAAGCTGATTATCAGTGTGACTCTCTACGGATATTTTTACCCGTCAGGGTATTCTTAAGTTTGTAAAAATTTACCCAAGCGCATCAGTGTAAAGATATTGTACAGCCTGATAGTATATTAATAATGAAGCACTCCACACACATTTCAGTCATCATCATCGGACATGCCAAAGGGGTGTTCATCGTGGTCACTTTCCTCTTCTGGCTCTTGTGCCTTCTGCTTCCCCTTCCAATCCGCTGGTATCGCGGGCGCAACTGATTTCGCCGGCCTGCGCGCTTTCTGCTTGCGCCAGATGTCTACCACGTCCGGCCAGACGTAGGGGTATTTCAGCATGTGCAGTGTCATGAGGTCGCCAAGGCGTGCATCGCACAGCGATGTGCGCATCCAGCTCTTGATGATATTCTGGCGACTAAACCCCCTCTCACACTCCACTGTGCTCAGTGGCAGCACAGCGAGGGCCTGCCAACAAGGAAACTGTAAACCTGGCCAATAGTGGCCCACTTCGTGCCAGCACAGGAGTTGTCAAGGCCGAAATTCCGGCCTCGAAAGTTGCCTTGGTGAAATCCCACGTTACGGGAAAGGGGGGGGGGGGTACCGGGGGAAGAGGGGGGGGTAGGTTACGCGTTACAGGGTAGAACTCGCTACGGGATCCGGAAACCCTTGGACATCTGTGTGCCTTAAAAAATCTGACACATCAGGGTAATACAATCTCCTAAAAAAAACACCCTAGGCCATCAGTCTGACTATCAAAAACCACCCTGATAGTCAGGGTATCAGGGTGTTTTACCCTGATAAAATTAGCCCTGATCACTACAGGGATCTCTGCTGGACTCAGAAAGCTCTAACTCGCACTCCCACTCTTTCCCCTGGCATCACCCTCCCCCCCACCATCTGCTATCTTGCTCCATGCCTCCTCCATTACACCCTTCATTTCCATCACAGCATTTCCAACCTTCCCCTTAATCTCCCCCATCGTCTTCCCTCCCACCTCAACCACCTCGTCCACTTTCTTCCCCCCACTCTGCACCACCTCACTCAATCTCTTCCCACCTTTCTCCACCATCTCCCCCACCCGTTCCCTCACCACCACCCCTGCAACTCCCACGGCTTTCGCCCCTTGCTCAACCGCCCTCCTCCCCTCCTCCACACCCCCCCTCCCTCTAGCCGCCGCCTCTCCCACAGCCCTACCAACCTCCAACTGCATACCAGCAACACCCACTTCCCTCTTAATCCCCTCCACCCTCTCCCCCATCGCCTCCCATCCCTTCTCAGCAGCCCTCACAGCCTCACGCACTCGCTTCCCCACTGGCTGAACCAGCTCCGAAGCACGAGCCTTCCACACCTGTGGATCCAAACCCTTCTCCCCCAAGCCTCCCCATGCTGCCATCCCCGCAGTCTCCCCCTCATCCGAGTTCTCAAAAGCGCTACCATCACCATCAGCAGCCCTCTCACGGGTACCCTTGGCTGCTGTTGTTGCATCGCCAGTGGCCGAACTAGCAGCAGCAGCAGCAGCAGGGGCTGTGGTGCCGTGTGCTGCCTCTGCTGCAACCTTCACGCCCCACTCGCTTGGGTCCACAGCCACAGGAGCGGCAACAGAGGCAGGAGTGGGGTCAAGCTGGGGGTGCGCGCGGGAGAAGGGCGAGAGGGAGATGAGGCGGTTGATGAAAGAGGAAAGGCCACTGGGGGAATCAGCAGAGCTCGAATTGGCATCAGCATCATCTGCAGTGTTGGCAAATCCTGCTGCCCCTGCTCCTTCTGGAGTCACTTTCCGGCCCTCTTTCCCCTCCTCTTGCTGCTGCTGTTCATCTCTCATCTCCATCTGTAGAAGCTGTTGCTTCTCCCTCTCCTGCTCCTCGCGCCTCTGCACCTCCCTCTCCCTCTCTGCCAGCTCTCGCCACGCCTGTTGCACTCTCTCACTTGCTGCCCTCACCACTTGCAGCTCTGCCTCCGCCTCAACCCTGCGGATTCAAAAGCAAGTGTGGGCGTCCGAGAGATACAGAAGAGGAGTGGATAGTTAGAGGAGTGATTGGTCGACATCATCATAGCAACCGACTCGACGCAAGGACACTACCGACCATACGTTGGGGACAACTGCAGAGTCAATTAAAAGAAGGGGAACCAGACGGATTTCACATCAACCAAGGGGGTGTGAAGTCGAAAGAGAGAAGAGAAATGTGTGAAAGGCTTGAAGACTTGAGAGGCGATGACGTGAAAAACTGGAAGAGGCTTGATTGTCAGAGAGGCCTTGATTGAGAGTGCACGACTTGGGTGTCACAAACCCGACACAGCCAACCGACTGCACGGCAAGGCAAAGAGGCCCAGAGGTGTCATTTCCTTCTCTCACCCTCCACCTCCACTCGCTCTCCTCCCCCTTCTCTCCCCCCTCCCTTCCCGTTCTACCTCTCCCCTCCCTCCCCACTCACTTTCCATCCCCTCCTTCCACGATTCCACAATCTCCCTCCATCCATTCCCACTAGTATCACCTACCGCTCTGAGGAAAGTCTCCCTGGAGACAGTCTCCCCCCTGTCCCACTACCCTTTCCAAGGACAGTCACACTCACCTGGCCTTCTGTAGAGCCTCCTTCTCGCCCTGCACCTCCCTCTCCCTCTCCCTCGCTCGCTCTGCTGCCTCCTCTGCCTGTCCCAGCATTCGCTGCACCTCCTCCCACTGCTGCCGCACTGCCTGCATCTCGTTCTGCACCCGCTCCTGAACCGATGCTGCTGCCTGCTGCTGCTCCTGCCTCTCCCTTTCTGCCTGCTGCTGCTGCTCCTTCAGTGAGGTCTTCAACTGACGGATGGACGCCTGGGTGCGGGGATTTGAGGTGAAACCAGACAGAGTAAGGAGGAGAGTGGGCAGTATAGGCGAAAGGGAGAGAATGGCAGCAGAGGAATCACACACTTGAGTAAGAGGTGGGGTGGGGAAAAATGGACGAGAGGAATGAATCAAGGAAACGAGCAACAGAACAGTAATAAAAACATTATCTCCCCGTATAACCCTCTGCGTCCTCACCTCTCCACACAACCCCCTCTTTCCCTTCTCCCCAACCCTCCCTTCTCCTCCACTCACCTTCTCCTGCTCCAACTCCCCCTCAACCCTCTCTGCAGTCGCCCGCAGCACCTCTCCCGCCTCCTCCATCGCCTTCCTCACCCGCCTGTCCTCCCCCACCACCTCATCCCTCTCCACCATCTCCCGCACAGCCTCTCTCAGCCTCCTCTCCGCCTCCGCCTGTGCTGCTTCCAGCGCAGCAGCAGCCGCTCGCTCTGCTCTCGCTCTCCCCACCGCCTCTCGCACGAGCTCCCGCCCCTCGCCTGCAGCAGCCAGTGCGATGGCAGCCTGGCCGCGAGTCACGGGCTTCTGTGGGTCGAACCGGCGTGTGAAGCCGAACGCTGTCGTCACTATGCCTCCGCCACCACTGCTGCTGCTGCTCGTGGTGCTGTTGCTGCTGGTGTTGCTCTTGATGCTGGTATCTCGCTTTGCTGCGTCTAGCAGCACGGATGGGAGGGCGTCAGGGTCGATTCTATCCATGTCAATGAATGGCGGGGGCTGGAGATAGGGGAAAAGGACGGAAGGAGGGAGCCATAAGGGTAGCGGTGGGTGGATGAGTAGTGCGAGGTTGCAGGGCTGGCTTGCAGTTTGGTTGAAGTGCAAGAAAGGTGAGAGGCGGGGGGTGGGAGTGTGGGGGAAGGGGCAGGGAGCGTCAGTAAGGGGCAACGAAAAAATAATGGTCTTCAGAAAGGAGGGGGCCAGAGCATGAGTGGCAGAGGGCAACAGCCATGGGTCAACAAAGCACCGATCATACAATGCGCAGTGCAATCGGAGGCACGTCTTTGGTTGTTCCATCATGCGCATGGCTGCTCTCCTCCCGTGCTGCTTATTGCACCACCCGCAAACCCACCCACCCACCCACCCACCCGCCCGCCCGCCCGCCCGCCCGCCCGCCCGCCCGCCCGCCCGCCCGCCCGCCCGTCCACCTGACACACCAGACACGCACCTGCCCTGCCCTGCCCAGGCGCCCACCTGAGAAGACAGTTGGGCGAGCATGGTAACATCGTGCGGCTGCACAACCGAGTCCAGAGCTGCCTTCCATGACACCAGGTCCTGCCGCGTCAACGGACTGTGGCGGGCCATAATGGGAGTGGATAGGGGGGTGAGGAGGGGGAGGGGGAAGGGGAGGGATGGGGATTAGGGGTGGAGGCGTGAAATGGGAAGAAGGGAAGAAGGGTGGAGGAGAGAGGCTGGCAGGCTTGCAGCGCCTTGCAAAATTCTCAAAATCGCCCACAAGAGGAGATGGAATTGGGTAGAGGAGCAGGGGTCAGACAGCCCGAGCAACAGGATCAAAAGGTTGGACATTGCAATCAATAAGTTCGGTGGTGTTTGAGGACTTCAAATAGATTCTCACACGATCTGTGACCAGCAAACTCCCGTGCAGCTCTGTGGGACACACACCTGTCCGGGTGGAAGAGAGCACCGCTGCCACTGTTGCACCCTGGACGGGCACGGAACGCAGCAGAGCCAGCAGCGCCAGCAGACTGAGAAGAGTCGGACGACTGAGCAGCAGATGAAGGTGCAGATGCAGAGGTGGTGGTGGTGGTGGCGGTGGTGGCAGCGCGGGGACAGCCAAGGTCCGTGAATGATAGCTTGCTGGAGATAAGACCCGCCTCAGCTAGACCTGCATGGACGAGGGGACGAGGCAGTGTAGGAGGGAAGAGGGAGGGTTGAGTGGGAAGAGGCATGGAAAGGCAGTACCGGGGCAGCCAAGGCCCGTGAATGATAGGTTGCTGGAGGTAAGCCCTGCCTCAGCTAGACCTGCATGGACGGGGAGGAGGTGGAGGGGAGGATGGAAGGGAGGAGGATGGTGTGAGAGGGAGTAACCGAGGAGGGATGGGAAGAGTGGGAAAATGAATGGGCAGAGAAAGGCAGAGAAGATGAGGGTGAGGGTGGAAAGGGAGGGGCCATGGAAGGCGATGGGTGAAAGAGAGATGAGAGCGATACAGGAAGAATGAGTGCGGGAGAAGGAACTCTTGGCAGTACGATGATAAGAAAGAGCTTTGAAGGGGTTTACAATATTTCTCAGTTTTTGCATATTCTGCCAATCCATTGTTCCTTCGGCGTAGCTCCTCCAGCTGCTGCTTTCCATTTTGTGTTTCCCTTCCCTCCTTCCCCTTGTAAAGCACAGAACCACCTAATGCCTTTTTACTCAACGACAGATGCAACTTGACTGTCACCCCAAGTGGTTGTGCGAAGGTGGCACGTTTAAGGTCTTGCAGATTTCAAAAGAGAGCGTACAAGCCAGCCAAATACCAACACATGACGCCTTGAATGGTGGTATGATCAGGGTCCAGAGACCCCACGTCATCAAAGGCAGGCGACTTCTATGTAGACTCAAAGCTCAAAACTCACTACGTGATGAGCAAACCCTTAACCCGCATGGTCGCACCTTGTATGGGGGCATAGTCGTCAGGGTCCGGACGCCCACACCAACAAAGGCAGGCGACTGGCGATTTTTGAGTCGATTCAAAGCTCACGACGTGATGAGCAAGCACTGATTCCGCACCTTGAATGGCGGAGTAGTCCGGGTCCTGAGGCCCCACATCATCAAAGGCAGGCGTGGACAGGCTGTCTATGTACATGGCTGGCTGCACCCTGTGCGCTGGGTCACTGCGGGGGGAGAGGGGGGATGGGGACAAGAGGGGGATCGGAGGAGAGATGGTCTATAAGAAGACTCAATAGAAGATAGGCTTGGACAGGCCATCTATGTACATGGCCGGCTGCACCCTGTGCGCTGGGTCACTGCAGGGGGAGGGGGGATGGGAGAAAAGAGGACAAGAGGGGGATGAAAAAAGAGGTGGGATAGAAAGAAGCCTCGAGGCGTGGACAGGCCGTCTATGTTCATGGCCGGCTGCACCCTGTGCGCTGGGTCACTGTGTGGGGAATGGATGGGAGAGGAGAGTGGACGGGATAGGAGGGAACACGATGAAGGATGGAGGAGAGATGGGTCACTGAAGCCTTTTATGTGCAAGGCTGGCTTGGGAAATAAGCACGGTGCAGTGCGGTACCTGGCAAGAGCGTTGGAGGCATGCACGAGCCATCGGGCGAACTCCCTTCGACTGCAGATGCTGGACGCGTCCACGTGGCCTTCAATCACCTGGTGACACGTGGACACACGGGGCGGGATGCAGCGAATGTGGATGAGAGGGGGCAAAAGAGGTGGTGCTGAAGGCACGATGAATGTTTTGCCTTGCAAAGATAGGTGGTGCTAATGGCAAGTTAAGCAGCACATTTGCCTTCAAGGTAAGACACAAGAGATCCCTCAAGGCTAGACACAAGAGGTCCATTCATTGATGCATCCCCCCTTTCTTAACTCACCTCTTGTCAACAACATCCCTTGGCTTCTTCCTTACCTTGTCCCAACCCAACCCCCTCCCCATGCTATCTCCCCCTTACCCCCAGCAACTGTAGGTCCTGCACGGCCTGCTGCTGCCCCGCGTCCGCTGCTGCTCTCACCACCACCCTCTGCCCCGCCGCTCTCCCCTGCTGCTGCACCTGCACCTCCTCCTCATGCTGCTTCCACTGCTGGTTGTTCTGAGCCGCACCGGTTCCGCCCACACTCTTCGCCACACCAGCTAGCTTAGACGAGACGGCGCTCACAGGCGCAGGCACAAACGCGCTTGCTGCCACCCTCTCCCACCACTCCTTCACACCGCCCATCACCGCACTCACTGCTCCTCCACCACTGCCTCCTCCTTCTTGCCTTGAAGAAACCTCCTTCTCTCTCTCCTCCCCCTTCCCTTCAGCAGAAGCGGCACGCACCAGTGAAGCTCCTGGCACAGTTTCAATACCACCATCTGCTGCTGCTGCCGCTGGTGCTGCTGCTCCCGCCACGCTCGTATCTGGAGCAACTGCTCCTGCCACCACTGGTGCCTCGAGTCCCCCCTCCTCCTCAGCCGCCTCGAATTGCTCCACAGCGTCTACAAAAGGCGACAGCTTCTCCACCGCCTCCGCCTCTTCCATCTCCGCTACCACAGCTGGTACTGCTGACGCTGGCACTGCTGCTGGCGCTTCTGCAGGCGCTGCCGCCACTGCTGCTGGCGTTGCAGCTTGCACTTCCGCCAGTGCTCCTGTCGCTGCTGCTGCTTCACCAGAGGTTGCTCCCTCCACGGCTGCCTCAACCGCTGCTGCTTCCCCTGCTGCTGCGGGAGCCACCGTTGCTGCTGGAGCTGCTGTGCTCGCGAGCAGCAAGGGAGCGGACTCACCCGGCTTGGCAGCCTCTGCCTCTGCAGATTCAGCCGCCATAGAAGGCATATCTGCCGCAGCAACGTGCATGGCAGAAGCATGGGCAGAATCTGGTGCAAATTCAGAGGCCATTTGAAATGCGTGTGAGGGAAGGACATCTTTCGTGTTGAAAACTTGAGAATCGTCGTGCTTCGTCAGGCGAGGCAGAGTGGGGCCGGTAGCGGCAGCAGCACTGGCTTTTGCAATTGCAGCAACGGCGTCAACAGCCGCAGCTGCAACGTCAGCAGGAGCAGCTGCAACAGCAGAGGCCACATCAAACGCGATGGACTCTACTTGCTCCTCTAAACTGGGACTGTCCACATTGGCAGGAGACTCACGCGCTGAGTGTGGAGCAAGCACAGGGGTATGAGTGCTCGCATCGGCAGCAGCGGCACCACCATCAGCGGCAGCTGATGCAGATGCACCAGTACTGGCAGCGAAAGAATTATCATCGGCAGCAGAAACGGCACTGGCAGCAGCGGGTTCTTCCAAAGCTGTCTCCCTCACATCCACCGACTTACCCTTAGTTTCACTCGCACTTTCCTTCTGTACCTGCACCCATCAATTTTTCCAAGCAAGGAAAAAGAAAATCAGCCTGATTTGTTTTCTATGCGCACCATGCCATGCCATGACATGACATGCCATGCCATGCCAGCGGGCTGTGGGGCACGGAGGATGGGAGATGTACACTGCATGACACATGCATGGACAACAGCACACAAGTTCTAAACCACTAACATTAAACCCTTGAACCTTTATAACAAGCCAAACGAGGAATCGTGGAGCTTGGAATCAGACTGGCAACAAGAGCGAGCAACACACAGGAACGCCAGAGCACACGACTTACCTCTTAATGAAGAATGACACACGCACATGACAATTAATCAATAGGAATGCAGCACACCTCGGCATTAATGCTTCCCTCGGGCCTAACAATCTCACCTCCTTGCTGCTGCTGACGCTGCCGCTGTTGCTGCCACTGCCTCCTTGTTCTGCCGCTTCCACCATTTGTACTGCACTCTCAGTCACATGCACCGGCACGGGAACAGGAACAGGCAGAGGCAGAGGAACGAGAGGTTCCTTTGCAGCATTTGCTGGAGTGGTGTCAGTGGCGGGCGACAGCGCTGGCGCAACAGATGCAGATGCATCAGCGATTGACGCAACTGGCGCTGATGCACGTACTGCATCGCCCAGAGCAGGGGCTACAGCAGCTACTTCTTCTTTTGCAGCTTCAACGGATGCTGCTTCACTTGAACCTGGTGCTGATGCTGGTGCTAGTGCTGCTGTTGCTTCAGCCGGTGCTGCTTCAGGTGCTGCCGTTTCAGCTGGTTTCAATGCAGCAGGCACAGAATTTACTGCCGCTGCACTGGCGTCGGTTACACCGAATGTTTCAGCCTCTGGGCCAAGGGCTGGCTTGTCAGAAGGCTTAGATGCAGAATCTGATACTGCCTCAGGAGAAACAGAATGAGCAGATGGCAGATGAGAAGCAGGAGCAGGTGCAGCCAGGGTGGTTGCACCTGTAGCAACACCGCTGTCCACGTCACCAGTCAATTCAGTGGATGATGACTGCGCCACGTTAGCAGGGGCTTGCGATATCTTGGCCGCTTCTGCTGGCTTGGCATCTGAAGCAGTGGCAAGATTGGCGGCTGGGGTTGCAACTGGGGTGGCGACAGCTGCAGTGACTGCAGTACTGACGACGACGGTGGTGGCAGGAGGCTGATGCTGCACAGATGGAGCGAGGCGAGCTGCTGTGGGATAGGAGACAAACGCAGGTAGGCGTAAAAAGGGTTTTATGGAGAAAAGGAGCTACGAAAGAGAAGTAGGGAAACGGAGAGAGGGCTCATACAGGGAGGGAAGGTGGAGGGAGAGGCGTCGGAGCAGAGAGAATGGGAAAGAACTGAGACAGAGAGGGTTCATTCAGGGGTGAGGCGGCCAGAAGGAAGAAAAATGGACTAGAAGAGTACAGTGAAGAGAGTTGAACTCATAAAAAGGAAAAGAGGGAAGTACCCTGGCGTTTGAACCCCATGAAGGCCATGGCTGCCACTCCCACACAGACGATGAAGCCCGCTGCTAGGTCCGTCACGCCTGTCCAGAGCACGATCGGATAGAGGGGAAGGTGTAGAATGGGGAAAAAAACCTTGGTGGCGAAATGCGAGGTGAGGGAAGAGAGAGAGGGAGGGAGAATGGGAGAGATGGACAGGCGAGAGGGTGGGTGGAAGGAGTAATCGAGAGAGAGAGAGAGGGAGGGAGGGGAAGGAGGCCAAAATAAGAGAAAAAGTTCAGAGGCAAAGTGTTGAGGGGGCTATAATAGCAGGCGCACGCATCGCCGGTTTCCGTTTCCCCTGGCAGACAACCTCTCAGCAAAACTCGCGAAAAATTTCCCGGAATTCAGAGTCCGCCATCAAGTGAGAAAAACAGGCAGACCAGAAGAAGACATGCCGTGGCTTGAGCACAGTATAAACTTCAATTCATTTGTTCGGCCGTGCGAATTATCAGACTAGTAACTGGAAGGTACACAGCTAATGGAGCACGCAGAACGCGTACTTGGCATGTTTCTGACGAACCTGTTCCGAGTCCGTTGGAGCGGTTTTTCTCCTTCAGCTTCGCTGGAGAAACCCAGTCGCTGGAACCCGCCACGCGCTGCGTATCCTCGTTAGTAGCGATCCACGATTCCATCGGTCCCTCGCTCGCGACGTGCTTGCTCGATCCGTTGGATGCGGCCACAGATCGACGGCTGCCGTTCGTCCCAGCAGCGTGCACACCCTCGGCACGCGTTGCTTCAGATTCAGATCCCGTGGACCCCGAACCCTCCTCAGCCGTTCGATTGCCACCAGGCTCGTCCGACCTGGCAGAAGCGTCGGATTTACTCTCACTGCCATGCTGACGTGGCGACACGGGGCGATCGCCCGTCGGGCGAGAACTGCCCACATCCACGGCTACGCGCAGACAGCGGCGACCAATCGGATCGAGAAACGGAGTGGTGGAGCGAAGAGAGTGCAGATGTGGCTGCATGGGATGAACGCGAGGGCGGATCCATGACGATGATGATGATGATGGTGTGTCGGGTGGCGGCGCGCGGAGGAAAGCCGCAGATGGTGTCGTGGAGTTAAGAGCGGCGGAAGTGGCGCAGGTAGCTGGCGAGGGGAGAGCTGCCGCTGTCGCTGAATCGAGCAGCATGGCGACGGCGATGCGGAATACTCGTGGAGTTGCGATGTGTCGAGCACAGAGGTTGTAGATTGCACGGGGAACGAACGGGAATGGGAGCAAGAATTCAAGAACGTCAAGAATAACAAGTCTCGAGTGATCAAGGAAATGGAGGGAGGATTAAAGCGCGAGACGTGTCCCAGAGCATGCTGGTGATGGGAAAAGGCCGTGTATATGCCTGAGCTCAAGTTAAAGTGCAGGTATGTGGAGCTCAAGTTCTTGGAGTAGAAAACTGCGCCGGTTTCGAGAAGGGCGAGGTGAACGAGGAAAATGCGGGCGATGGAGGAAGGAAGCACACTGCGACTCCACGCGTGACACCAAATAGCCCAACTCATGACCCATCCATGCCCCATGTGGCATGGGTGACGCAACGTACACCAACCAGACCGTGCCAGCGCATGCGTCCCATGTTGATGGTTGGCAAGAAGGAAGGCATGCAGGCAATGACACACATCACAAGGGCCCAATTCCCAAGGGCGTTGTTCTGCAGGCGTTATAGGCGCCGCACCAATTTGACCGCCGTAGCCTTCTGCGTAATTTCTAGGCGCATCCACGCTGGTTGCGTTGCAAGGAAATTGCTGCCCCGCTTAACTTGTGCGGAGGCTGATGCTAGCTCCCGAGGTAGAATCAGCACCGCACAAGTTGTGCGGCCATTTGTCCGGCGAAGCAACAACTTCGAACCTGCACACGATTAAATTTGCATTCCCTAAAAGTGGCGTTCTGCAGGCGAGAGCGTTAAATATGGCGCGAACAGGTTTGGCAGGAAATCGCTTATCACCGAACCTTGATAGGCAGAAACCCACTTATCGACAAAGATTCTGCGGACCCAATTTTTCGAAATTTAACGCCTACAAAACAGCGCCAAGGTGACGCAAATTCGGTTCAAAGGTGGGGGCTTCTGTGGGTGGCCAGACGAATCCGTCCGTCGGCGGGAGGGGAAGCCGACGGCCAAGGTACGAGGCGTGCCTTTCCACGGTGGACCTTGCTTTGTCGTTCAGATTTCGCTAGTCTAGCAAGGTAAATTTGCGAAAAATCCAGTTGGGTACGGGTATTTTGGCCCAGATCGAGAGGGATGTCTGTGTCGCTTGGAATGTCATGCGACGCCACGTCAATGTGTCAGCTTGACCCTCAAGCGATTGGTTGGTGATTGGCTCCTTCCCGAGCCTCCTATTCTGGAGGACCATCTCCTCAAAGCTAGGGGACTTTGTCAATCAGCTGGAAGACCAAGGCCACGTCGCCCCAGATTTCAGGACGACGAATCTCTTGCAGTAACTTTCCGCACCGAGCCCAACCTGGCATGGCTCGTACGCTGCCATCGCATAACCTAAGGGCGCGTGTCTTTTGGTTTTTATATGCAAAACTCGAATTTTTTGTTGAACTGTAGTCATTTGAACCTAGCTCGAGCTAGGCTCGAGTTTTCACCAACTGCAAACCGAGCCGCGGTTCCACCCCTCCCGAAAATCACGCGACAAACAAAAGTTCAACTATCGAAGTTGAACTTTTGCAGCCCAGCCGAGCCGCGACCTACGCTTGTAGGTTACCCGGTTTGGGCTCTTGACATCGCGCCACCGGGACTCGCGCTGACGAGCACCCTCGTGCGCACGATGCTAGCTGCGAGCGTCGCAGACTTCGCATCGTCGCTGTCAGTGATGAGGTGGACACACGCTCGCACATTTCTGCCAACCTGTTTGTTGATGAGGGTTCAACTTGGGGGCTCAACATTTTCCGATGCCGGAAGTGTACGTGGACACACGACGTCCTGGCGAACGTCTTGGCGAAATAAACGAATAGGGTAACCAGCAAAAGTTCAACCAAAAATCCGAACGTCTACACCAAAAGACACGCGCCCTAACAATTTCGTATCGCCTCTACATGGCTTTCGTTGTTCCCCTTCATTACAACTATCTCAATTTTGGAGGGATCATTCCCACTAGCTGGTTCCTGGGACATCTTAGTAAATAGATAAGTGTCACACTTATTGTAGCAAACGTCTGTTCCACATCATATATAGCAGCTGTGTGAGCATGTGACCCAGACAAACGCGACCAGACACACCCTCCCCTATAGCTTGAAGTCACAGTACTTTAGAGTTACACGGACTGCTAATGCACTATCGATCACAATCTAGTTCCAATCAACATGGTAATGCCAATAGTAAGACTAGACTTCTACTCAACAATCTACCACACTAGATCTTGTTGTGAAGCCAATAGAGACGATGAGATGTCACATTGCATATGGTGGACGGCAGAGAGCCAGAGAGCTGTATATACACTCCACCCTTATCGCAGCAGCAATATAGAGAACGCAGCCTCTGTCTCCAGCGTCCCCCTCTTCGATTGAGCGGGTCCTCATTCCTTCCAAGATCGTTTGGAACATCAGCAGCAAACTGTGTCCTTCGCCAACCGACGAGCTGTTTCCGCCAGAGCTTCAGGCAGAAAGTATGCAACATGCGGATCTCTTCATCGTCGAACCACGCCATGCGAAGCTACAGTTATCAACACTGCCACCCCGGAGTCGCAGCCAGGCCCATCGGAACCCAGACAGCTGAGCAAGGCCATCCGCCGGTCGTTGTCGCGGAGCCAGACTGCCTTGCAATAATTACAATCAAGCGTTGCCCACGGTTCGAGAACAAAAGCCTGGCCAGTGCCCTCCTTCCGTTCAAAAGCTTCTCTGCGCTTCTAAAACACTCGCCGCTCCAGCACGATGGGCGGAACGGCCTTGTTCCTGCGCGACGAGCCGCATTTCGGGCACTGCAGCGGAGAAAAGAGAGGGCGAACAAATGAGGAACCGCGTTACAAAAATAAGGAACAGATCAGAAAGACATCGAGGGAACAATAAATCAAGACATATCATCACTGTCCCGTGCGGCACCCAAGCTCCCTGAACATTCTGACCAATCGGCGACATAATCTGTCTTCGGAACATACCTTGGAGCACCCCTCCCCAACACACGCGGGGCACGGGTCCTTGCGGTCGTACTTGCCCTCCCAGCGGATAGCTCCCGTTCCGCCGCACAGGGTGCAGCAGCACAGCCCGTACCCGCCGCACTCGTCGCACACCTCCCCCTCGCTCTCGCCGTCGTACTCTAGCTGGTGCTGGTGGTCGTGCGACTTGATCATCGTCACGATGCCTGCGACAGCCAGTGCGACGGCCATGACGACGCCACCCTTGCCTGCAGGATAGTCGCACGCACGCACGCAGCCGTCGGCAAAGAACCAAATAGATGTAGTTGGAAGATGAAGAGCGAGAATAAAACACCACACGAGGAAACAACCATCAGAGGGGAAATCGAAACGTACCTCGGAGCAGGGTCGACGGGCGGAGACGAGCAGCAGTAATGGCGGACGCACCGACAGATGCGACGGTACGAGTTGCGGAGCGCGATAGCAGCGCCTGCGATAGCGACGCCGGCGCTGCGAAACCGCTAACCTCCGACAACGCGGCGACGCTGGCACCGCGCACAGCCTCTGCAGACAAGCACAGAAAAGACGAACCAGCGGGCAGATCACGAAGTGGACGAAGGATGTTAGGAAGGGACATGGATCTAAGGTCGCGGACTGGTCGTGGAGAGAAAAGCGTTTCTATGATCGGAACAAAACGAGTCAGCCAGTACTGATGCGTCTAGAGTCTGCTTTGTCAGACGACGGGAGTTTTGCTCGTGTATCACCTGCTGCCTCCGTCACGACTGGCGTGGCTAGCTGAGCCCCAGGCTGGCTCTCCACCTGGCGCAGCTGGTTCGCAGCCACGTGGCGTTCAATGTGATGGTCATGTCCAGCTTCGTCGTTAAACGCCGCGCAGCTCACGCACGGGCCCCGCGAGTTGCCGTGAACGTTTTCATGGTGACGGTTATTCGCCAAGAAGGCGAGGTCCGAGAGGCTACGGCGAGACGACGCACGAAACGAGTGGCCCGATCCCAGAAACCCGTGGTTACTGCTGCTGCTGCTGCCGCTGGAATTGACGCTGATGCTGGCGGTGGCTGCAGTAAAGCTACGTCGCCTGTGACTAAAGCCGGGGCTACCGTTGCGAGAGCCGCACCTGCACGCCGTGTTCCTTGCGCTGCATGAAGATATGGGACAAGTGAGGGAAGTGACGACATGGATGGGAGTGGAAGGGAGTGCAGAGAAAAGGGTCAAAATGAGTGGGATTGACCCTTCTAAAAAAGGGTATCGGAGGCGTGAAAACTCCGTTGCCACGTCCCAATGATACTAAGACGGAAGGCGAGACGAAATAAGAAAGCAGGAGGATCGAAACAGCTAACGCATACCTATCAACGCGGAACGCAGAGGAGTTCCCGATGCTAGAGGAGCGCTGAAGGACGATAGATGGCGCCATACAAATTATTTCTTAGCGCCTCCGAGGTTACTGAGTTCGTCCTACAGCTGATGAAGCTGAGAAGGATTGAAGGGCAAAACAGCGACTACAAAAGAAGCGAAAGTAGCCAGCAAATCTTCTAAGCGATCAGGGCTATGCAAACTTGACAAACGACCACGACTCCTGCACAACCGGACCTAGGTTTCCTCAGATTAGGGGGAGCGTCGACTAAAATTTACAGAGCCAGTGCCAGCGCATGCATAAATATGATGAACTCAAGCCGGGGCAATGGTGTAGGGCTGGCACAACACGCACCACAAGGGCATCCAGCTCTGCACCGCACTGCACGGTGGATGGAGTTTTTGGAGGGGTTTACCTGACAGCATAGCGTGGCATGATGACATCCCGATCGTGTAGATTTTGGGCATGCAAAGAGTCTTCGGGCTGACATGGTTGGCTCACGAAGTCCGCAGGTTCCAACTATTTAGGGGTTGTATTATTTAAGCACCAGTAGGAGCCACAGAGCTCGAAACACAGAGCTCAGTGGATTTGTAACTTCACTTATTCACTTAGTGGGAAGAAACGTGGGATGTTCATGTAAGATTCGAAAAATACTAACGGGCAGCATAGGAATTGAATGTTGTGGGTCTGGGCTGTGGTTGGTCCTTCCATCCAGCAAAGCAGCGAATCTGGAAACTTCCCGCGATGACATTCACGGTGAAGCCCGCATGACGTGGACAGAGCGAGCGGTGGGGGGCGCTCTAGAATAACGTTGCGCGAACGGGTTTTGTTTGGCCCAAAACATTTTCAACGAGCCGCGCGCACGCGAGGATGTACAGTATGCTGCGGTGCAGGCTCTGATATTTGATCCGCCTGGCGCAAGTTCTACGGTCCAGCAGTCATCTTAGCAGCAAAACGGACCAATCATATTTGGCGCAATTATCGAACTGCCGGACGCCAACCACATCCTTCCGGGCTCCTTGGAGAAGATGCTGCTTGGGGGTGCAGAAAAAAACACGCAATTGGATGGGCACACGCG